ATATGTAAATGATATAATCTGTAAAAATCTTCATTAATAGAATATTAATTTTGTAAAAACACATTTCAAGAAATGTCATGATGATGTGATAATGATAAATAGTAATTTGTATAGAAATCATTAATAATATTTGTAAATATGATTCAATAAAAACCTTAATAATTTTAAATAGTATAATCTGTAAAAATCTTCATAAATAGAATATTTGTAACTCAATTCAACAAATGTCTTGATGTGATATTGATGAATAGTAATTTATATAGAAATAATTATATAATATTTGTAAGTACTATTCGATTAAAACCTAATAATTGTAAATAGAACATCTATAAAACATATGCCACAATGCTTTTAAAGAAGTATATAATCGTCTGTGGCCTTTTTGGGTTTTCGTTCCCTTTTCTGATGGGTAGGGGGCCCAAATTTGTTTTTTGCTAGGGCTTCCCCAAGTACATAGCCCTTCCACCCTTTTGCTGGTACTTGCTGTTTACATGTATCATTTGTTTTGTGTTCTTTGGTCTTTCCTGTTTGCTTTTCCATTAGCTTGTCAAGCTTTTTTTGTTTATTTGGGTGGACTTTCTGCATTTCTAGGCTGCTCAGCATCTGATTTTGTTTGTACAAAAATCGATCACCAGGCTAAAATACAAAAAAAAAATGTTTATATCAAAATGAAGTAGTCTTAGCTAGGCCAAAGGTTACACCAGTCTGGTGAAATCTTGGGTTAGCCTCTGCTGACTGAATTCATTTATGGACAAGACTACATCAGTCAAGGTTGAAAGTGTTATAAAACTTTCTTGTGTGTGTTTCAAATGTTAAAAAATATATTTTAAATAATAATAAACTTTGGTAAGCAAGGCTTGAATTCTACATGTCCAAGTTCATATTAAAAAAAATCTATTTCATATTTATATTTGGTTCAATACCCTGCACCAATGTCAATTCCTTTGTATGGCACATGTGAGATTTGGTGTAGCTAGAACAAGACAGTTGTCATAAAATTTATTTGTTGAGTCAGTTCAAATACCTTTAAGCTTCCTAGAAGCCTTTCTTGTCTTTTGACATCTTTAACTTTTATGTCCTTTCCATCTTTGTATATGGACTGTACTGTCACAATTGCAAGTTCATCTTAAAAATATAAAATTTAAGAACAAAGTTTTGATCGCAGCATGTACACCTGTGTTCTGAATGTTAAAGATTATTGCTACTGGTATATATTTTATTACTAGTAAGGCTTTTACTACTGTACGGCAAATATTGGGCTGCACAGTGTTTATTTAAACTTACCATCAAGTTTTGATTTCTTGATAAATGAGGCCCTTGCAAGTTTTTTTGCTCCATCCATTATGTACAACTGATCTCTGGGAGGAAGGAAGAAATGAGCTATGTTAACAAAGTCATCCTACAGTACAATCACATAATATGCTGCATGTGCAGTTCCAAATTTGAGAATATAAAAATCAGCTGAGAAATGAAACATGATATATATACTGTACATAAATGTGCTGATGTTTTCACAAATGTTTGCTTAACATAGCTCTTTTTTTATTTGCAATAAATACCCTGGTGAAAATGAGAAATCATCTTCTTCTTCCTCCATATCTTCCTCCATTTCTTCATCCATTCTCATCTCTTCATCGCTCTCAACCTCCTTGTTTTCATTTTCCTCATTTTCTTCTTCATCTCTCTTATTCTCCTTGCTTTCAATTTCCTCATTTCCTTTTTTATCAGGTCTGTTCACTTGAATGGTTTTTTCCTTTGGTTTTTTTTTATTGTCTGATTCTGTCTTGTTACTACAGACTAGAGATTCCAGCACAAGCCGCTTTTTTACCACATCAATAGGTTTCACCGTTTTTTGGGAGCTTGAGGGCAGTTGCAGTGGGGTCTCATTTTTTCTTGCCTTCAGAGCATTTTGCCATTTCTGAAGCTTTGAGAGAGATTTGAGTTAGATCACATTCATGTCAATAGAGCAATAAAATTTGAACTGTACGAAATGTAGTTATCTTTTAGATATATTGTGAGCGAGTAACACAGTTGTTTTTTTATTTCAAAATAAAGATTATTATCGTTAATACTATCTATCAGTTATTTATATATACATGTACTAATAAGTTTTTTTGAAAACTGCAGTTTTAATTAAACATATTTTGCTTTATTTTATGATTACCTTTGCTGTTCTTTTCCAGTTAAGGACATTCTTAAGCTGGCTTCTCCTGTTCATTAGTGTTAGGGATAGCCTTTCCCTGATACGGTGCTCATAACCAGCCAGCTGTGGTAAGGCAGTAATAACCTAAAATAGAATTCATGAAAAAAAAATCAGATACCAAGCTTTTTTGTTGATGCATAAAAGCTTTTGAAGAAATTGAATTAGTATTTAGCATCAAACATAATTTAAGTTTATTCTGATATGCATGTATATACGGAAAAAAAATAATAATTAGGGAAATCAAGCAGATCAAATGATTAAAAACATTATCCAGATTACATGTCATGTCTGAGAAATGATGAGCTCTAAACTTTACATTCAACGAAATATATTACTAAACTTTAAACTTAACACTCACCTTTTCCATAAATGATGTAAATGTAGCAAATGGAATGCTGTTGAGGGAGGGAGCTTTCTCCCACAGTCCCACTTGCTTGGCTGATTCCCTTACTGTGTACTAAAAATCGAGAACGCTCAAGTTATTAATCCCATTACTCTAAATAAATCAACGTGCGTGTTGGGCTTAAGAGAGCAGTTTATTACATCTATTGAACATTTGTTTGGCCACTGGCGTGTGAGCCCCGAAGGGCCGAGCCGCCGATGTTCCGAGCGATCACGAGCCCTGAAGGGGGTGAGTCGGGGCTCGCTCGGAACATCGGCGGCTCGCCCCTTCGGTTCTGGGCGATCTACAAACAAGGGATTTATATTTACGATCCTGAGACCTCGATATTGTCATGCAAATTTACAAATTTCATGAAATGATTGACTTGAAATAATAAATTTTGATAAATAGAAAAATCATGGTGATTTATCCGCAATAAGTTCGTTACTATAAGTCAAAGTGATGGGACAAGTTATTTGATTCAAGATGGCGACAAAAGTAAACATGCAATAACGAGAGCTAATTTTATCATTTCATAACTATTTTTATTACATACCAAGAATGTTTCTTGGGCCTCGGTTGATTTAGTGTTCTTTTTCTTCTTTTGAAGAAGTTCTGAAGCGGTGAATTCTTTTTTTTTTGGTCCATCGTCAACCTCACTAGTGCTAGCAACGGTACTCGTTGCGGTGCTCGTAGTCGACTCCGATGAAGAATCAATCTTGGTTTTCTCATTCAAAATGGTTAGAAGTGCCTTAATTTGCTCTTCACTTAAATTAGCTAAAGCTGTTGAGCTCATCTCTTGCGTTTTAGTACTTTTAAAAAGATTAGAAGAACACGAACAATCAACTACTCTCTATATCCTGTATCAGAGATCAGAGAACGAACCGGTACCAATCGCACGAAGCAACGGTATTTTGGCGGGCTTTCTTTCTGGTCCCTGATTGGTGCAATTTCATGCGCATGTGTGTTCCCTGCCGCAGGAAAGAAGAAACGCGGGCTCTGGGTACGAGATTGATAACAGTCTATGGAGTCCATTGAACAAGCTAGAAAGACAAAGAATAAAGAAAAAAAAGCTCGACAACGGTCAAGGAAGGTTATTTGTAAATGCAAGTTATGTAAGGGAAAAGTTGAGATAGCAATACGCACTGCTGGAAAGCATCTAAAGCTTTACGGACCGTTTGAGATTTCAAGTAATGACAACAGTATTCAAGGTGTCGTTGGCCGGGGACCTCTCGAAATTACTGAATCAACTGGAAGTTTTGACGAACTTGATCACGAATCAATACTTGAAGACTGTGAAACTATAGTTTCTACTTCGACTTCATCTGATTTAAGTTCTGAACATGGTGGTGTAAGTGTTTGTTCGTCCGATCATGAAGGGGAATACATTGAAGTTGATCTCGAGCAAAGCAACGAGGAACTCGAGTCTTCTAGCTGCATGTATGAAGAAGCTTTGTACAACACAGAGCGTGCAAAGATACCATTATTTTCCAATAGTGACCAGACTGTACTTCAGACACTTTGTCGTTATTTTTTGTGGTTTTCGGAGCATCCTGGAGTTAGCAAAAGTTCACTTTCTGACTTACTGTCTCTTCAACATCAATATGTGTTGCCTGCTGACAACAACCTCCCCTCTTCTTACGATGATGCCTTCAAATTTATAGAGCCATTTCTGCTGCCATTAGATAATTATCACGTCTGCCCTAATCATTGTGTAGTCTTCAGAGATTCCCCTCGTTTCAAATACAAAAATTTGAATAAGTGCCCTGAGTGTGGAAGCCCCAGATATGTTGGCAACAACCCAAGAAATAGCTTTCACTACTATCCAGTTGGACCACGCTGGAAACGCATGTATGGCGATGCAACTATTTCAGAACTTCTACAAAGCCATAAAATGCCTTCTACTGATCATGATGTTGATGGATGTGGCATGATGAGAGATATTCATGATTCGCCTCAATTCCTGGAAGCCTTTACGTCTGATGGAAAATTCTGTGGAGACCAGCGAGGACTAGCTTTGCAGTTTTCCACAGATGGAATGAATCCTTTTAGTCATGGAACTTATTCCATGTGGCCCTTAACATTAACAATGCTCAATCTTCCTAAGAAAGTTAGACATTTGTTTAGCAGTATTATGTTGGTTGGTATTATCCCAGGTCAACAGCGTGATGGTGCTCTTAAGATAGATGCATACTTAGAGATTTTGGTGGACGAACTATGTGAGCTCTCTGGTGTCAAGTTTTATGATGGTTTTCTCAAGGAATCATTTACATTCAAAGTGATGATTCTGAACCATGTGCTAGACTACCCAGGACTGAACAAGTTGTTTTCTGCATATGGGGCAAACGCAATTCAAGCATGCATGTGGTGTGAAATTGAAGGTTAGTTTCAAAATTAGGGTTACTGGTCATTATGCAAATACAACGTTGATAAGCTGACAGCCATTATCCAAAACTTGATATGCGTTTGCATATCAAGTGTGCATGTGTCCTATTCCATGCTATATATTATATAATAGCCAGAGGGTAATGGTGAGGTTTCAATCGACTAAAACATTACTTTCAAGTAATATTTTTTTATTATATGTAGTCATGGGATTATGATTAAATATAACTTGGCAGGATTATTCATTATTGCTATTTTTTTTTTCATAATTTCAGGTACATACATAGAATCGCTTGACAAGACTGTTTATTTAGGAAACAGAAGATACTTGCCAAAAGATTGTGAAATGCGTCTAGACACAGAGAAGTTTCCAGACAAGATAATAGAGAAGAGAGAAGCCCCACCAAAGAAAGAGTTTTCAGACATAATGGTTGATTCTGTTGCATATGAAAGTGCACCAAATGCAGCTCAAGCAAGGAATATTGCTCGTGGGTCTGGTGTGAAGTCATGCTATAGTTTAATGCTTCTACCGGATCATGACCGAACAACTCAAGCATTTCCTGATGTTATGCACACAACCATGTGCATAATGCTGTACTTGCGATCTTTGATTTGATCACTGGAAGAGAAGATACTTTAAAAGTCAGAACCACAGAAAATGCTCTTCAAAGATTCAGCGTGAATCCTAATACTGTTGATGATCAAACTGCTACAACATCTAAAGGTAAATAAATAATAAAAATAGCAATGATAAACATAGTGGGTTATTGATATTCAGACATCAAGAGCTACTTTTGGTCCCATATCTCTACGAGATAATTGATGTAAAGAGGTACAGTACAGATGTGAAAGAAAAGAAAAATCTTTGATAATAATGCATTTTTTATTTATTTAAGGAAAACCATCTTCTGTGCGTGTTGCTGGAAACAAGAGGAAGGCATCCAATGCAAAGAAACAGCTTCCAGATGCACCATTCCGACTAACAAATTGTGAATTAAAGAAGGCAGATAAACGAGCTTCAGAAATTAGTGTTCCAATTGGGTTTGGGTGGAAACCAAAAGCATTTTTTAGCAACTACGCTCATATGAAAACCCATGATTGGAAAGAGGTAGAGTGTAGTACAGACAGAAGACCATTGAATATATGTGTTTTTGTTCATAAACTGTTTCAGATTTTGTTTTGTTCTAATGAGATGTTTGTGGGGCTAAAACATTGTGTCATATATTTGAAAACACATTACAGTACTTATGTAGCACATTTTAGTTCTTATTCCTAACAAGACTTTTAAACACTGTATCATATATACCTATGTAACATACATGTAGTTGTAAATATGACCTTATTTCTGCCCTCTGACTGCCATTTATTTTGAATAGACCATATATCTACATGTACAGCCTTTTGCACAAATTATGAGACATTCTTATATAAATTATATAAATATACCTAACCAAATATCAAAAACACCCAAGAAATTATGGGATACCGTCGCTGATATTTTGTCTGTAACAACCTGATGCTAGGCAATCATGACAAAATATCAGCGACGGTATCCCATAATTTCTGGGGTGTTTTTGATATTTGGTTAGGTACAGCCTTTTGCACAAATTATGAGACATTTTTATATATATAAATATACCTAACCAAATATCAAAAACACCCAAGAAATTATGGGATACCGTCGCTGATATTTTGTCNCTAGACGATTTCTGAGCTGCGCTTGCGCTTTCAAAAATATCCTAGAAACCCTTTGCAAAAACATGTTTCGTTTTTATGSGCACGCAAGCAATATTTGTGCTTGTGGGATAGAATTTTAAAAAATCTAGCGTTCCGATCTCGTACCCAGAGTCTGCGTTCTCTCGTCGCTGACCGAAAGAGAACACAAGTTCTGGGTATGAGATTGCTAGCTCGCAAAGGTTTTCGGACGCAAATGTGCCTTTAAGGACGTATATGTAATCTCTTATCCATTTCCCGTCCGCTGGGCTTTTAAATTGCTCTCACTATCTCTTACATTGTGTAAGTTTGGCAGCCGTACAAAGAACGACGATTTCATGTCCCATCGTGCATTGCAATTCAAAATGGCGTCGTTACATTCACTATCAGGTATTTTTACACTAACCTTACATGCAGGCTGTTCAAGCTTGTTTCCCCATATGTACATTGATATCAAACCGATGTTTAGCTTCATTGCTTTGGCAAGAGCACATAATCCTTGACTTGCGATGTTATTTTTGCAGAGGACTAAACTATATTGTAAAGCAAATGGTATATTTAAAGCCGGTTCTTAATGGCGAATTTTGCTGAGAACTTTCGGGAAATTTATATATATATATATAATAGATTTTGTTCTCAACCTTGTGAAGAGACGTTTTGCTAGCTCATCTCAGTGTACTGAATAAATTTKACAAGTTAATTCTTTAGCATTATTCTCTAGGATCAAAATATCYCCAAAACTTTGCCAGTATGAACCGGTCTTTAGATTCCTTTCACCAAMATCGTAGAAAAGTACATGAAGTTCAAAATTAAACAAATTAAACACAGTCGAAAACTAAGTAAAGGACACAATAGCCGACTTTCGAATTTCGCCTCAGTAGTCAAACACAAAGGAACCAAGACGAGGCACTGTGCATAAAGCTCAGTCAACCATGAAAAGACAAAAGTTTTTTCACAATTGACTGAGCTTTACGTACGGCGCCTCGTCTTGAATCTTTTGTGTTTGACTACTGAGGCAAAATTCGCAAATCGGTTATTCAGAACAATTAAATGACTAAATGGTTTGGGTATAAATGAAGTCTAGTATAAACTCGAATTTCTCGAGTGTACAATGTGTGACTTTTCCACAGTCTCGAATTCGGTTTTTGATCTTATTAGAGCACAGGAACCAAACATCTTGTACCATAACAAATAAAAACACGTCTTACGTTGTCAGGTTTGTATTGTAAGCTGAAAGTGCTTCGGCAAGCGCCATGGCTCCATCATCTTCGATTCTATTGTAGGCCAAATTAAGGACTTCCAGAGGTGTGTTGTGCTTTAGTAGAATAGCCAACTGCTTGGCCCCATCTCGAGTAATATTATTGCTGTAAAAAAACGGAGTCTTTTTAAAAGGTCAGTTAACACTTTGAAGCACAATTCTTGGGGCGATCGTCGCGCGACCATCGACTGAGTTTCGTGCATGCTTGAAAATTGACTGCAACTTAGCGTCGATTTTCCATCGCCACAACAATCGCTGGACTGTTTACACGTACGATTTGAGTTGCGCGCTGCGAAAATCGCAAGTGTAAACGGGCCTTTAGGAGTACTTTCCATTAGACAAAAGTGGTGTCCAAAGATGTCCCCCTCAACCCCCTCCATTGACTAGAATCAAAGAGAATAGCCGATTTGCATTATGGTCTCATTTACTACAACTACCAGAATGCTTTTCCAACTTTCTTTTGTAATGCAATTAGTGCCAATTGTTTTATTAATCTCCAAGGGGATTAAGAATCTGAATAACAATGAAAATACGCAAGGCTCTCTGGTAGTTGTAGTAAAGTTACGCCATCGTGCAATACGTCACACTATAAATATTATATTGTTTGTTATACATGTAACTCTAAGATGGTCTCGTTGGGAAACTAAGAAGGATCTGGGAACGAGAATGACAGAAATTCCTGTTCCTCCCTGTGACGTCATGCAATGTTCAGCGCAAATGCTTTATGAGAAATATATTTTCATTAGTAAAAGACAACAACTACTCAAAACCGGTATTACCTGCTTAAGTTAAGGTGCGTTAGCGTCAGGTTTTCATACAAATGTTCTTTGATTCTTTCAGCTCCAAAGTCCCTTATGTCRTAGTGAGTTAAGTGAAGCTCTTTTAGTCGTATGTTGACCTGAAACAATCAACATATTATCGGTGGCTTTTTCATCGTTATTATATTATTATCAACATCTTCATCAACACCATCATCGTCATCATCATCATCATCATCACTCATCATTATTATTATCATCATCATCATTATCATCATCATCATCATCATCGTCATCATCATCATTATTATTATCATCATCATCATTATCATCATTATTATCATCGTCATCATAAATACCTTGAGCATTTTTGCAAGATGAACGGTTGTCTCCTCCTGGTAAAAATAAAGAATAAAATGGGAAAATGAAAACAATTGAATTGGGAAATAAAATGGGAAATGAATGAGAAATAAAGGGGAAATGAATGAGAAATAAAGGGGAAATTTTCATAATGTACCTGATGACTGAAGAGTATAGGTCTGTTCATCGCCAGCATTTTAAGTGTATTGTTGTGATTAAGTATTGTTGCCATGGCAATCACACTTTCAGTTTTCTGAAAATAAATTAAGTATTTATTAGAATGAATTGATCAACATCTCAGATACAAAGATATCATAAGTTCACTAACCAGGTCAACTTCAGAAATATCRAGTTCCTCTARGGCGGTATTGACTTGWAGTGTGCCGGCTATAGCCATACCYCCCCTGTTGCCAATTTTATTGCCATTAAGTTTCAGCACTCGCAGGGTTTCGTTGACCTTATAAGGGATGAAAAYACATTTTAGGATGAGAATATTGAATAAACACAAATTTTCAAACACATACACTAAGAACAACTACCATACCCTATCTATTACCCTACATTCTCCTTCACGGTTCCCTGTACCATCTTGAAAGCAAGATGGCTGTTGAAAATGTAATGACAGAAACCTTCTTTCACACCTACAGACAATTATTCAAAGGTATCTGTCATTGCACTCATAACGGTTGTCTCGCTTCGATGTAAAGGCTACCTTTCAAGATGGCACAGAGAACTGTCAAGAAGACTATTACATGTATCATACATGTATCATACTGTCTTAGATTAAAATATTCTACTTTCTTTAGTACCTGGAGTCCTTTAGCAATGGCTTCCCCTCCATCAGGTCCTATGTCATTGTAGCTTAATATTAATGACTGAAGTACCAACGTTTCCTGGAAAGAAATGACACAAGAAAGTTCCCTTACTAGAACCAAATTGACGGTAGACTGGAATGTGGGTAGATAGAACAAAATAATTTATCTTATATATTATTATTTAAATAACTTTAGCAATACTTGTAAATAAGGCAAGTCATGCGAATAAAGTTTGTTGTTGTAGAACACAGCCCAAAATTCAATCATCTACTGCGCAAAAGGCATAATTTAACCATTTAACTTAATATATGTGCCAGTTTGTAGAGTAAATTTTCTCTTTTACTCGTTCTATTTTGAATTTAATACTATGAGAAGGAAAATATTTGTGGGATGGTGCCTTCCTTCAGTATGAAACCGCGCGCTGATTGGCTATAGATCAAACATGTGATCAACTGGCCAATCGCCTAGTATTTGTAAAGGTAAGCYATGACAGCTACTGTGATGTCTCAGACTAATGCAAAAGGTATTGCTGCCGAACAAGGTTAAAGGGGAAAATATCTACCTGTAATAGCTGAGAAAGTATTTTTGCTCCATCGTCACCAATGTTATTATACCCAAGATCAAGCAAAACTACAAAAGTATTTGCTTTCAGAGTCTTGTATAGAATCTCGGCATCCTACAAAAACCAATTATACTTTTATATCAGAGAATACTTTGTATTATATTGTAGCTATCATTTAGTATGCACTCTCTGATTGGTCAAATATTAATTGTTTATTTCACCGGCAAAAGCACGGATGAGAAAATGCTATTTTATAAAATGCAATATTACATTACACATTTTCATACGTTCTTGTTGAAATGAACCACTTGAGATACTGGGCAAACACTCAAAAGGCTGAAAATCTCTTGCCTCTGTTTCAAAATTTTTTATGTCTTTTGTTCTCCCAATATCCTGCATGGTTTATTTCACCATGCAGGAACACACGAAAATGTTTATTGCTTAATTGATTTTGCATTCATATATGTGGTATACTAAATATAAGCATACCTCATCGACCAGACGTCGCCTGTACATCTCATTTCGTTCATTCCTTTTGTTTCCATGGAGACAAAGATGAAACTCATCTGTCGGCTCCCTATTTGTCACAGAATGACAGGTAAGTAATAGAATTCTGATAACAAACCATTTTTCATGATAGTAAATTTAAAAACAGTATGAAGTTTTGAGACTTAAAGACCCAGTTTGCACATTTATGCATTGAGCGCCTAATTGCTATTGTTATGATTTACACCAAATTACTTTTAGTATCCAAATATCACCATAAAACAAATGTCATATGGTTGAAAATTCTTTTATTAGCATTTAACGTGCTAAGAAAAGTGAGATGGTCAAAGATTCAAAACACAGTAGAATTTCTAGACTTTTGGTAAACTGAAAATGGCTGCCTCCCAGCCCTTGCGACCCCCTAATTATAATCTGCACACTGGGCCTTTAACCTGCTCTTTCCATTTTAGGATATTATTTTGTGGTAGAGCAGGTTGATTTTTAAGGAAAGCCTCGTTACAATTGACCCCTGAGCTGTAATAGTTCCTTATATTCCTGTTCATTAATGATATTTCTTTCTGCAATCAGTTCCTAACCTAGCGTATAACTACTAACTTTGNCAAACAATTACAATGACAGAGTCATGGTAGACTGCGAGCTTAAGATGGCGCCTCATGGCTGCCGCTCTTAGTCCGTCCCAAGATATCAAACTTAAAAATTACAACAATAAAAATTAAAATATAAATGACACTACAAAAAATACATACAAGGAATAAAGAAGCATGCATGATGGCCGGTGGCTCAGATGAGCTCATTCGCCCTTTGACAGGTCTTGTTTTTAGTCCTGCTGGGTGTACATGCCACCCTCTTCACCAGTTAGACTGGTGGGGGAGCCGGTTTAGACGCCGACGACCCGTCCATGAGGCAGGTTGTACTGGGTTACAATGTTACCAGTAGCAGACTGATCGTCTGACCTGACATCTTTACATTCTTTTATGCAAATAAATTCCCCCATGATTCAATTTCTCATTGTTAAATACCTGCCAAACCAAATTCACAATAATATTTCTCAGGTTGCTATCATAGTTGGTATATGAATAACAACTATAACGTCATATGAAATGTTGGTACGTCATTGTCATGACGTCGCGGTCAATGACGTCAAACACTTGAGAAATGTTATCACCGATACATGCAAAACATGACTTCAAAACTGGGAGCACCGAGGTTTTTAAAACGTTTGTGAAGATTATCGATTTTACGTGTTATCTKAAAAACCCTACAAATTAGTTTTGAAGTCTTTTCCGGTTAAAAAAAGGGTCGTAAATGATAATATTTGTAATTCTTTGGATTGTCAATTAAACTTCTCATTATTATCAAGCTTTTAGTGCGTAATTCTGATAAATTCTGCGATAGCGGCAGTCTAAAAGCACTTTTATCTCTACAAATAAAGACTACTCATTCAAATAGTCACATAATACAAACTTGAGGGGGTAATTTTTAAACTAACGTAAGCTTACATTATGCTGTCATCGATTGCCAAGTTTAAAATAGCCAAAATCTCWGAGTTTGGTTCTTTCTGTAAGTCTGCACAAGCTTTTAGGAAATCTTCCTTGGTTGAGCTTGGGTCTCCCATCTTTAAAGTTAAATTTATTACAGAAAAAGACTTGATTTTTACAGAAAAAGACACAAAAATACTACATCTTGTCCGCCATTTTCGTTGTTACTATAGAAACGATGCTTGACAAAGCCTCGTTTCGGTTCATTACCTAAGAGTAAAAGCCAAAATAAAAGAAGTAATTTGATTGGTTAAGATTCAACCGGATGTAATTTTACACCAATCATAGACCGTGTTATAAAGGCAAGCRTAAATATTTACCCGTAGTTATGCCGACAGACAGCATGTGAGGAAGTGTGTTGTGATTACTTATTTTGTTAGGGTAATTTTTATGTTTTCTTSACAATAGACTATTGTCTTTGCCTCTTGAGGGCTAATTCATTCAATCCTAGGATTCAGCTGTGTGCGGTGCTGTGTGTAGGAATCAGTCCTTTTCTTACTTCCTCACAAAAACTTCTCTAAAATGACCATCAGAACGGAAGAAAGCGGCGACAAACTTCTTGCTGGCGTGCGAGAGAAGGATGTGGGAATTGTCCGACAAGCTTTATCAGAAGGCTACGATCCAAACCAAGCCGACAAGAATGGATGGACAGCTTTTCATGAAGCTGTTTCAACAGGAAACTCGTCGATAATTTTGGCTTTCCTTCGGCGAGGCGCTTGTCCCGATTTACAAGATGGTGTTAATCAAGAAAGCGCTCTCCACATTGCTTCAATGGATGGACAAACAAAGATCGTTCAAATGTTATTAGATAATGGCGCAAATATTAGCTTNATAATTTGTGCAAAAGGCTGTATATTTATATATATAAAAATGTCTCATAATTTGTGCAAAAGGCTGTATGTATCTAAACTTCTTTATTCAGTAATTTCTTACAAATCTTTTAGGTTGCAACTCAAGGTATTATCAAATATTGCTTGCAAGATGCACTTGGTAACAATCAAAGAGCAACATTTTTGTCATTCCTTGATTTCTTGAAAAAAGTTCACTCAGATGAACATACTGATGAAAGTATTAAGGAGCTTCAGTTAGAAGTAAATTTGGTTTGTGCTAGAATTGAGCGTGATTTTCCAGTTAGTGTACAGGTATGTAACAGCTTGTCATGACATTTATTTTCTATTCGTGGCTCTATATAATTTAGACTGCGAGCGAGTCCCCTTTTCCCTCCTAAATCAGTAAATAATAAGAAAAGATAGACGCAGGCTTCCTGTGCCCGCACCGGAAGTTTATCGGGTAGACGGGAGAGGCGACCAATCAGAAATTTGCGTTGTGTGGACAATGTGTATTTTTTTATGTCGTGTCTGCAGTCCCTCTTTTCCTCTCCCGTCTACCCGATGAACTTCCAGTGCGGGCACAGGAAGCCCGCGTCTATCTTTTCTTATTATTTACTGATTGAGGAGGGAAAGGGGACTCGCTCACGGTCTATATATAATTACTTTTTAAAATGATTCTACTTTACTTCCTTGTATTTCTTGGTTCTTCTTTCATACATGTACACATTAAATTTCATTACTTGCATTAAATACTGTAGTTTTTACAGAACACTTTTTGGTTTTCAGGTAATAAGTTTGCACCTTATTAGACATATTGTTGATGGGATTAAGATTCAAGGACCAACACACAGCTGGAGTATGTGGATGTATGAACGGTTTAACTCTTGGATCTCAAGACGTGTGATGAACCGAAAAACACCTGAAGCTACAATAATGAGAACTTACCAAGTAAGTGTGAACAGTATTAAAAATTACCAATGAATAAATCCTTTATCATCAGACAGCATCAAGCTGGGGTTACACTTCTTAAAATTTATTTGAGAAAGACTACATATACGCATAACAAGAGTACAAGCTAGCACAGAAAATCTTCAAATGAGCGAATTACTTGGTTTATTAAAATACATTGCAGTCAGCAGTAGACTGAATTGTGTATAATACAAGATAAGAATATAAAAAGTATAGAACTATTTACAATGCTCACACTGATTTTTTTACTTTTCATAAGCCTTTTTTGTTATTTTTCGTATCTTTTTGGTTAAATTTGGCTAATAGCCAGATGTTTAAACTAAAATAAATGTGGTTCTATTGAACTTAGGTACATGACTGGTGTCAATTTATGAAGGCTTCAGGAAGACTTCCAGGGGTTGAAAGCCCTCTTTTTGAAATGGATGAGTGTTCAGATGGCGAGGACAGAGGTACCAAGGAAAGCACTGCTGCTGAGAGCATTCCAGCACCAGAGAATGTTGTCAATGTTTTAAGATATTTTTATGAGATTGCTGAAGATGAAGATTTCTCCACAGAAATTTCTCTTTCACATAGCCACAGTGAAATGGTATTTGGAAGACTTATTGAGTGGAGAGGTAGAGAGAAAGAAAGGTCCTCAAAGGTTTCCTCTATTATAGAATTAAAACTTGATGCAGCCACAGCAGATCTGAAACCCACATTTGGCCAGATTAAGCATTTCTTTACAAACAGCTACTCTGGCAAGACAACCAAGTTTGCTGTTGTGGATATGTTCGAGGAGGAAACCACAGTATGCACAAGTGTCAGTCAATGGACAGTAATCCCTGGACAATCAAAAATGATCATCATACCAGCAAATTTTGAGTATCTTTCAAGGCCACTGGTCACTGCCAAACCAGTGGATAACATAGATATTTTATACATCTTAAATCGTTAATAGTCATTAATATAAATAGTCATTGCTGTAAGAAGCACAGAATGCAGTCACCGTACAAAGTTGGTTCAAAGAATGGCCTTATTCAACCTTGCTTCTTACTTTTGTGATAACATCATAATTCTAGACAAATTACTAAAAATCGATGTCACAAAAAAACAGTATTGTGTCTATTACCAGTCTCCTAAAGTAGCCATTTTTTATTGTGTTTTGTCCAAGGTATATGCCATATGCATGCAAAGAAAAATATATGCTACTTTTTTTAATTCAATCATCTTTTGCGTTTCTGGTAAAACAGATTATTTTAGCTTAATTCAGCGATGATATTTTTCCAGATTTTACTCATGTACTTGTCTTGATTATAGTTTTTTAGCAAATCAAGAGCTAGCACATTTTTTTATTAGTAAAAAACTAAAACAAATTTCATACCATATTTCATAGCATGAGGACTCCTAGGAAAACATTTCATAGGGCTGAGGCTAGCACAAAAAAATTCATAGCAAATTTCATAGCATGAAGAATCCTATGAAAATATTTCATAGGGTTGAAGTTAGCACAAAAAAATTTCANGGGCTAATTCATTCAATCCTAGGATTCAGCTGTGTGCGGTGCTGTGTGTAGGAATCAGTCCTTTTCTTACTTCCTCACAAAAACTTCTCTAAAATGACCATCAGAACGGAAGAAAGCGGCGACAAACTTCTTGCTGGCGTGCGAGAGAAGGATGTGGGAATTGTCCGACAAGCTTTATCAGAAGGCTACGATCCAAACCAAGCCGACAAGAATGGATGGACAGCTTTTCATGAAGCTGTTTCAACAGGAAACTCGTCGATAATTTTGGCTTTCCTTCGKCGAGGCGCTYGTCCCGATTTACAAGATGGTGTTAATCAAGAAAGCGCTCTCCACATTGCTTCAATGGATGGACAAACAAAGATCGTTCAAATGTTATTAGATAATGGCGCAAATATTAGCTTGAAAAACATTGAGGGAAAGACTGCGGAAGATGTTGCTAGTTCAGCATGCAAGGAACTTCTGCAGAGAAAAAGTAAGTTTAGCGTTTTGAACTTGAATGTTTGATAAATTTCAGCTTCCTGTAAGCTTTAAAAAAAGCTTTCTTTACTCAATTTTTGTATTGTAATGGCAAACATTATGTCATCTTGTGGTATAAATGGACTTTATTGCTTGTTGTAGATAAACAGTCTACTATTTCGAAAAGCTAAAAAATACAAAGAATCAGAACTGACAAAAATATGCAATCCCGAAAATAACCTTTATCTCATAAATTATGGAGCTGCTCTTGTAGAGAAGTTAGAAAAAAATTCTCTTATCAGAAATGCTAGCTTTTTATTAGACATTTTGGTTAGGCTGTCAGTCGTGTTTCCTAAAATTGTCGAGTAYGACGCCGAAGTGTCCTATTTCACCTTTTTTTAGCAACTGCACAACAACATCTGTTTCCAATTTATCTTAAAAATCTTCCAGTTATTAAATTTTATCTAAAAAAAATTACAAAAGGTTTCATGTAATTGCACACCCGAGTTGYTCCAATCTTCTATGATTGATTCCCAGAGGTGTCTGAAATCTTTTGTGTTAAAGTAGTGTTTACTTCGGTATTATTATCTTTTATACCAGTTGTCAAGGAAATAGATCCGTTGCTAAGAAAAACAAAATAATAGACTTCACACGACTCCAGACTTCACACGGCTCCAGTTACTTTAAGCTTAAATATTACTCATTTTTAAAATTCTTTTAGATTTCGTACGTAGATTCAAGATTTCTTAATTGCGAAATTCTTTTGTTTTTCAATTGTTTCTTACAGCTGGTTYCCTTTGGAGTAGTTTTGAAGTGTTTGAATTAAGTCGATTTAAGTGGTCTTACCTAGAGAGTTTGTTAATTAAAGTTTTGCATTATCTTGAGTGGGAGGATTAAAACGAAAAAAAATAAAAAAATAAACTTCTCACTGAAATATTGGGTTAAGAAAACTTCTCAAAACGTCAGTTATATTGACAAGATTAATTTTTTTTTCCAGGAATTCAATTGTTAATGAGCACTGGYCCTGATAAGTCCACCAAATCTTACAAAGATGGTTCACTTTTGAAAGTAAGTGGTGCATTTAAGCTTCCTTTGATGCGTTCACCATTAAAAGGATTTTTAATCATCATGGCTACTTTATGCCTTTTCTGCGTACGTGATATGATGGTAGCTTGATAAAAACTGATGCTTGGAAAAGTGGATGACCATTAAACCACGAAAGATCAGCTCATTGCAATAATGACATAATTTGCTTAGAAATGTGGAAATAGAACTTGAATTTGTATTATGTACTTATTTCGCAAGCCAAACAAAGATTTTAATAAAACTGAGGCTCAAGCTAATTAGACTTGAGGGTTTAAATTAAACTGTAGTTCAGAGTGGGAAAGGAATACACAACGAAAAAAAAAAAATGAAAAAAGGAAGAGAACGAAAAATCCTTAGTTAAATTATTTCTCTTTGAACTGAACTTCAAAAAATCTATACAGCTCTTTTTCAATGCAAAAACATTTTTACAAGGAGTTATATATTTTTCAAAATGAAAATTAAATCTTTTTTGTCATCATTGTTTTCTATTTTTTTTTTCTAGTTAAATCCAGAACGAAGCGCTAGCCCCAAGAAAACAATTGCCACTTCTCCTTCACGTGATAGAACGTCATCAAATGGTAGGACACATTTAAGCTTGTGTGTCACTTGTTATTACAGTTCATTAAATCATATTTATTTTTATTTATTAACAGATTATAGTGACAGCCCAAGTCCAGGTGAAATAAAACTTTCATTTGAGTATTACACCAAAAATGTCTGCCTAAAAGTTAACATCTTAGAAGTAAAARATCTCAAGTTACCAACAGGTATAATTAATAATATTACTCATTTTTTAAATATTACTAATTTACAGCAGAAATCGTTGCCTCACTACTTCTTAGTTTTGAAGGTTGTTTGAAGTGTATTTCTTTGATGTGAGGGGCGGAGGTTTTCGTAAACTCGTTCAGTCATTGGCTGATTTGTATCAGCAAGCTAAATCACAACGATTTTCTTTGAACATTGAAGTCACGATGCAATGGGTTCAGATTTTAACAGTGTTAATCCTTTTATTTCTCTTTTTCCAGTTCACAATTTTAGTCATCTCTATGTAAAATGCTGCCTGATTCCCGACAAAGACAAAGACACAAAAGGCAAGACTAGCTCCTTTAGGATTGACTCAGAAGATCAAGGCTACATGTCTCGTGGAAGCAGCGCGAGCTCTCAGGGCAGCACAGGAAGTTATTCCAGCATTGACTCTGACGTAATTGCCGAGAAGATC